TATTAACCCCCCGTCTTTTATTATCTGTTTTCCTTCTTCATATTTCTTAGTATCGTCTAACAGTTTGTTAATTAATCTCTGAGGTTAATTATTCTGATCTAACGTTTTTCCTTAAAGTTTTCGCTTACTGTTCCAAGTAACTTAAGTTTACTATGCATCGACAACGTTTATTTTATTAGTCCTTCTTTAACCCTATACGTTTGATAAGGGTTTAAATTACTAGGGAAATCAGCATTTTGGTATTTTCTATACAGATCCATACCTAATTTGTTTTTTATTCTATTGCATCCAAGAAGATAGCCTACTATCCCTTAATAATTTCATAGCTTATTTAGTCATCGTATATATTATATTCATTAACTCAAGTAATTCTTTCAGAATCATTTGTGTTACCTACCAGAAGTCATTATACCATTAAACATCAAAAAAATGGGAGGGCTTCTTATGATATGTGAATCTCGAATTAAGGCATTTTATTTTTTGCCTAAAAATGAAGTCAAACATGACCTTATAATCATATATGCGACATCTTCCACATTATAGACAAAACACTAGGAGACGAAAATTGTGTATAGATTCTTTAGGCCTGAAGGAGGAGCTCTAAACTTAGACCAAGTCACAACTTCAAGGCAACCTTCTTTCCATCTCTGATGAGATTAATTTACCAGCCATCTGCTTCCAATTTTTACTGTGAAATCAAAGTCTTAATTTTAGTTTTTTTTGTTGTCTAAAAATTAGCCCTAATTAGCTACGAAATGGGGCTTAAATTAATTTATTCCAGCACTTTGCGTTCCTTTTCTCTTTCTTTCCTTGTTTTTTTTCGTTAAAAGCAGAGGGCACTTTGTGAATATAAATATATATTTTATATTTTTGCCTTTGGTCTGCGTTTTTTTTACCTATTTTCAACCAAATTATTGCCTTACGGTTGTGATCATGACTCCTAGGGAGCTCTCGGATGTGGACTGCGACGGCCAGCTGACATTGAGTGAATTTAACGTAGCTATGCACCTCGTCGTGCTTCGCCGTGTCAATTTACCGATCCCTGATCGCCTGCCTGGCTCACTCGCCAGACTGGCTACCTCCACTTGCCATCTATCAAGTACGGGACCTCTTCCAAGACCTCCAATGTGTAGCCAAAGTGTTGATACAATTGGAGCCAATAGCAGCAGTGCAACTGAACCTCAAAGGTCAGAAGAGGAGATGCTAACTAATCCGTTGTCTCCTGCCCTTTCGGTCGGACAGACAGCTACAGGGCCTCTCTTCCCGCCTTCGTCCCTACTGCCTCCACCGCTGCCTCCAGCGCCACCTTCGCTAGCACAGTCAGAGGTATCTGCATTTTCAACTCCAGTGTCTGACTTCTTAGTTGTTGGGTCAGTCGGTACCGACCCCATCAGATCATCATTCTTGCCCTCTTGGAACCCCAAAGTTGGCTGTCTGGAAGCTACAGTACCCACCGCTTTCAGTCGCATTGCTAACGATACAGTCGTCAGCTTGAGTGAAGACCGCGTTTCGCTAGGCCCTGGTGTTGTTGATGATAGGCCCTGGTCTGTATCTTCGAGCCTGCAGAGTGACGTTGTCTCTCTCGCTGAGGGTATGCCTCGATTCGATTCTCGGCTTGCTCATGACGATTTTGTGAGTTTCTTTTATGGATATGCGCTAGTTAACTGGCTGGTTGACATTCCTCCAATAAAGCTATCAGCGGTTAGGTTTCAAATCAATAATGTTAGATTTTGCACTCGTTCTTTATTTTTATACTCCTTAACTTGTCTCAGAATATTATAATTTCTCTCTTATAATTTTGCTATCGAGCCCATCTATCTCTACTCTTCAATCGGGACTTTTTAGTCACGAGGATTATTATCTATATTTTCTAAAAATTACTTCTAAGCTCTCCGAATTTAAAAGTCCTTAGCTTAAATCTTTTCGTTGTTGCTAGACATTCGGTAATCTAAAATGCACTGATTTAGGGATAGCAACGAATTTTTGGGTTAAAGTTAATTTAAGTCTATTCAAAACTTAAAGAATTATTTTACTTGCATCGGCTTGATCAATATTCAATTCTTTTATCGTTGATGGTTAATGGCATACCTTTGTTCCTAGACTTATGCATTCTTAACTAAACTGTTATTATATTTCGATACAATAAGCAATTGTTTTCATTATGGCCTCTATGATTCTATGAAGCCAGAAATTAATGATGGACAGATAGTTTTCTTACACGGAATCAGCTTGCTTTATTTAAACCATGTAGCAATGCTCATAACAGCCTCGGCTTAAACCCATTTCTCTGTTTAGATTCTCTATCAGGTTTATATGGCCAATAGCAGCTAATGTTTTTGATGATTATGTTGATTTTATGCCTATCTGGATTTTAAATCGTAGTTTATCACGCGAAAATGATTTGCCATTTGCGTTCAGTTCAAATCCTTAATGACGTA